AGAGAGTGATAGAGAAATACTTAGAGTAAGTATTTGTAATAGAGGGTTGTTTTCTTTTCTTGTAATATTGAGCTAGTAAGCTCCTCCCTTTGTTCTAGTTTTGAATAAAAGTGTGTTTCAACCCCAACACATTGTTGATTTTATTTGTAAAAATCAAAGATTGTCAAATTAAATTAGTTCACCTAGTTACATGTTGATTAGTATGCATTTAACCCCTTTTTGTATAACCTTTTGAGGTTCAAACATAATTCAATATGTCTTTTGGCTTGCCTTCATTAATCATACGTACTAAATCATATTGCTTGAACATATAAAAATAATGAACTAATTAAACACATGAAAGGATCATCATTTAGCTTGCCTTTGTAACTCATGCGTGCTGATTAGTGCACAACTACATCTCATAAGCAGTAGTAAAAATAGTTTTACATTCTAAACCATTTAGCAGTATTGCATTAATAATACAAAAATCTACAAAAGCTCCATGAATGGTTTTGTGGTCCCTCACCTTGCTACAGTTAATGTTAAATGTGTTGAAGAAAGGAAAATAATAACTCTCGTGGCTGGCGTAACTGCTAGAAGTCTTTCAATTTTTCTGCATTTACTTAAGTCCTTCCATATTTCTAGCTTTTACTTTTCAGTTGTAAAACTCTACTATTTATAGCTGCCTTCTGTTCTCTTTTTGTTCATCAATAATATCACGAGAGTTCTCCTGCACTTCCTTTTCATTTTGTTAAGATCCAACATTGTGGTATCAGAGCTTGGTCTCTTATCCAAGTCTCAATCGGTGACTCTCAAATGGCACAAAATAGCAGCAGTACTATTAGCATGTCACAACCACAGATTCCTGTCTTCAAAGGGGAGTCCTATGAATTCTGGAGCACCAAAATGAGGACCCTTTTCAAGTCATAAGACTTATGGGAATTTGTTGATGCAGGTTATATAGAGACAAGTGTAGATGAAGCCCGTCAAAAAGATAATCAGAAGAAAGATGCTAAAGCCTTGTTCTTTATTCAACGGGAAATAGATGAGACCATCTTCCCTAGAATTGCTGCAGCAGTCACATCAAAGGAAGCTTGGGATATTCTCAAGACTGAATACCAAGGATCAACCAAAGTTATTATAGTCAAATTGCAATCCTTGAGGAGACAGTTCGAGACTTTAAACATGAAGCCAAATGAAGCAGTACAAGAATATCTAGCAAAAGCAGCATCCATAGTGACACAGATGCGTGCCTATGGAGACAAGATTTCTGATGAAATTGTGGTGGCCAAAGTTCTCAGGAGTTTACCAGTCAAGTTCGATCACGTGGTGGCAGCAATCGAAGAATCAAAGGACATGAAGACTTTTACCTTTGATGAGTTAATGGGGTCACTACAAGCGCATGAGGCAAGAATCAACATGAATCACACACAAGAAGAAGAACAAGCCTTTCAGATCCAAGGGGAGCAAAACAGATTTTCTGGCGGTAGAGGAAGAGCAAGAACATCATCATTTCGAGGCCGTGGACGAGGCAGATCACGGGGAGCAGTCGTTCGATGTGACCACTGTGGAAAGCTTGGTCATAAGGAAGAAGATTGTTGGGCAAAGCAAGGTCAAGCAAAATATACAGAAGAAGAATATGTTGAACAAGATGAATGTCTATTCATGACCTACGCAAACCAAGCTAGCCGAAAGAAGGAGATATGGTACATAGACAGCGCATGTTCAAATCATATAACAGGTGCACGTGAAAAATTCAAGAATTTGGATGAATCAGAAAAATCACGTGTTAAACTTGGTGATGATAAAGTTGTAAACATAGAAGGAACGGGAACTATCACTATAAGCATATAAGGAAAAGACAAACTCTTCAATGATGTTCAATTCGCTCCAGGTCTCGCTCACAACCTGATAAGTGTGGGACAGTTGATAGAAAACGGTCTCAAGGTTGAGTTTGATGATAATACGTGTGTGGTGAAGAGGAAAAATGGTGAAATTGTTCTCTATTCAAGGATGACAGGAAACATAATGTTTCCTGTAGATTTTTCTCATAAATATGGTTACATGATGATGAACAGCAGGGTTGATGAATCGAAACTTTGGCATTGCAGATACGGGCACCTACATGAAAAAGGATTAAAGTTGTTGTCAAGTAAGCAAATGGTAAATGGATTACCTGCTATACATGACTCAAAACGTGTATGCGAAGGATGTGTTCTAGGCAAGCAATCACGAAGGTCTTTTCCAAAGGGCAAGGCAAGACGAGCAACTGAGAAATTGGAATTAGTATGTGCTGACATTTGTGGTCCAATGAAGAACGAATCTCACTCAGGCAATAAGTATTTCTTGCTATTCATTGATGACTTTACCCGTATGTGTTGGGTATATTTCATTAGAACAAAATCTGATGCCTTAGAACACTTTAAGAAATTCAAAGCTCTTGTTGAAAAACAAGGAAACACTACAATCAAGACTCTAAGGACTGATAGAGGGGGAGAATTCATGTCACGAGAATTCATTACTCTATGTGAAAAAGAAGGGATAAGAAGAGAGATGACAGCTTCACATACCCCAGAGCAGAATGGGATTACAGAGAGAAAGAATCGAACCATTGAGGAGATAGCTCGATCAATGTTGAACACAAGCAAGCTACCTGATGTTTATTGGGCTGAAGCCGTTGCTACCGCTGTATACCTAATCAACATATCTCCTACAAAAGCTGTATGGAACAGAACACCGTTTGAAGCATGGTATGAATTCAAACCTACAGTCACTCATTTACGTGTTTTTAGCTGTGCATGTTATGCATTAGTCACATCTTACAGACACAAGCTAGAAGACAAGTCCAAGAAATATGTTTTTGTGGGATACTGTACACAATCAAAGGCCTATAGACTCTTTGATCCCATAAACAAGAAAATTGTTGTTAGTAGGGATGTAGTCTTCGAAGAATATGCAAGTTATGACACTACACAAGAACAAGTCAATACTTTAGTTCAACCCGAGTTACTTGACGAAGAAGAAGTTCATGATCAAGCACCAATTACTCAAACCAATTCCTCAAACATCTCATCCTCGAGTTCAAGTTTCTCGCATGGAGTGTCTTCACAAGTTACTCCTCCAAGATCAAACACAACATCTTCTAGCAGCACATCACCAGAAACAACACCACTCAAAACCAGAACATTAGCAGATATTTATGCAAGCACAATGGCACTATTTGCGGGTGATCCTATATCAACGAATGTTGCTCTTCAAGATGATAGATGGAGAAGAGAAATGGAGGAAGAGATTGCTGCTATTGAGAAGAACAATACTTGGGAACTCGTGGAACTACCATCAGATAAGTACCCTATATCACTAAAATGGGTGTTCAAAACTAAGTTCAAAGCTGATGGGAGCCTACAAAAACACAAAGCCAGATTAGCCGCTCGAGGTTTTATGCAAGAACAAGGTGTGGATTATGATGAAACATTCTCGCCGGTGGCAAGGATAGAAACAATACGATTGATCCTCGCATTAGCAGCACAAAGAGAGTGGGACGTCTATCAATTTGATGTTAAGTCGGCTTTCTTGAATGGAGATCTTAAAGAGGAAGTATTTGTTCAGCAACCTGAAGGATTCATAGTAATTGGGCAGGAGGAGAAGGTATACAAGTTACGAAAGGCTTTGTATGGGCTCAAACAGGCCCCACGCTCGTGGTATAGCAAAATTGACAGTTTCTTCTTGGAAAATGGCTTCACGAAGAGTCCCAATGAGCCCATTATGTACTACAAGAAGCAAGGCATAGAAGATTTCATGTTGATTAGTCTCTATGTAGATGACATGATATACACAGGGTCCTCAATGAAACTCATACAACAGTTCAAAGAGGAAATGATGAGAACTTTTGAGATGACTGATCTTGGAAGGTTACATTATTTTCTTGGTATCGAAGTAAAACAAACCAACAAGGGTATTTTTATTGCACAAGAGAGATATGTCATAGACTTGCTGGAAGATCTCAATGTAGTGAATGAAGAACCCATCGCAACACCTATGAATACTAATGAAAAGCTTGTAAGTTCTGATGGTACATGAATGGTAGAACCCCAGATGTACAGGAGCATAGTTGGGAGACTAATATATCTTACACACACAAGACCAGACATAAGCTATGCTGTTGGTGTGGTCTCAAGGTTCATGCATTCACCTACAAAACATCATTTTGGAGCGGTAAAAAGGATCATTCGTTATGTTGCTTGCACCAAGCATTATGGAATATGGTATATGAAGTCAAAGAAACTACTGTTGGAAGGCTTTACAGACAGTGACTGGGCAGGGTCACAAGAAGATAAAAGGAGCACAACTGGAAATTGTTTCAATGTGGGAACTGGAATTATCTCATGGTTATCAAAGAAGCAAGAAACCGTCGCATTATCCACAGCAAAGGCTGAGTATGTGGCAGCCTCAATCACAGCATGTCAAGCAATCTGGTTAAGAAAACTTATGAATGATCTCATGCAAGAACAAACTGAAGCAACTGTGATCTACTGTGACAATCAATCCGCGATTGCAATGACAAAAAATCCTGTCATGCATGGTCGAACCAAGCACATAGAAATTAAGCATGATTTCATAAGAAAGCTAGTGGCAGATGAAAGCATCAAGCTGAAGTTTTGTAGAACTGAAGAACAACAAGCAGACCTGTTTACCAAAGCTCTTCCAGCAGCTCGTTTTGAATATCTTCATGCAAAGATTGGTGTTGGTACCTTTGAATCAAAGGGGAGTGTTGAAGATTGATTCAAAGTTTCTTAGGAAAATAATAACTCTCGTGGCTGGCGTAACTGCTAGAAGTCTTTCAATTTTTCTGCATTTAATTAAGTCCTTCCATATTTCCAGCTTTTACTTTTCAGTTGTAAAACTCTACTATTTATAGCTGCCTTCTGTTCTCTTTTTGTTCATCAATAATATCACGAGAGTTCTCCTGCACTTCCTTTTCATTCTGTTAAGATCCAACTAAATGTTCATCAACTAAATTATGCTGCAGGGGCATAGTCGTAATCTCCATCATCATCGTCCCCATCTCCTTCAAACCTGGCTGCTGGTGTATAGTAGTAGCCACTATCATTCTTCTCCATGTTAGCATGACTCCTACCCCACCACCCTCTGATTGACTTTGTGACAGACGACATTTCCTTGATGATAGACTATGAAGAAATGTTGAGGTTGTGGTTGTGAGTAGGAAAGAAACTGAGAAGCCATGCATATTTATGAGCAACAGAAGTAAACTAGGCATGTTTTCACATAGGTCTACCAACGAGAATAAGTGTGGAGTTATGATCAAATGCTGTGCCTCACGTATATGGGGGCACCTAATTTGTAAAAATTTCAGCGAACATATCAGAAGAAATGTATGGAGTTTGATAGGTGGATCACAAGAGAAAAATGTTTAGAGTTTGATGGGCATCTTTTTTCTCAGAAGAAATGATAGAAAAGGATGTTGCACTCATATTAACAGGAATCTATCAAAAAGTTAAAGTGTGGAGTCATTACCAATGAATGTGCATGACATAATATGGTTGACAGGTCATCCAGCCACATAAGGCTGTCAGGTGACACATCAGCTGGGTGGATTCTTTGATCATTGCCATGTCATTCTGCCAAGTCGGGGAAGTAAATACGATCACGTTATCTTGAACGCATACTTGGTCTTAAAGATCAATTTTTTTATAAGTTTTCTTGTAATATTAGTTTGTTTTGTCCAAAACAATCTGTATTTTATTAAACAGATCTTAAAAGAGGTGATTGTTATTACAATATCTTTATCCTCTCTTTTCCAGAAGTTTAAAGATAGAATATATGTATTTTGACTCTTGTGTTATGATTTGCCTCTTGAGACGTTGCACTTGACCTTTATGATGAAATGTCACTTTTTAAAAAGCTCCACTTGATATGATTTTATATCCAACTTTTTTAGCTTTTATGTAGCTAGTCTAACACAGGACCATTCTTTTCGGGAATAATCTTCATTTTGGATCTAATTTTCAAATAGAGGTGGTATTATGATATATCTTGGCCAATTTATTAATATTCTTATAGAATATATATACAACATGTGTTATCAATTAACTAGGGTTGATCTGGTTCTGGTTAATGATATTCGAGTATTCAACAAGAGTAAGTGTTGATTGTTAACTAGTGTTTGCAATATAATGGGTACAATTTTTTCGTCAATATTTCTCTTGCATTATGTATTATTCTTTATAAGTTGTACACGATAAACGGCTGTAGTCAGCAGCTGGTGAAAGGGACTGATATGAAGTATCCACGACCATTTAACATGTGGGTAACAAAATGTCTTTGTAGTCCATATTTTATTTTCATGTACTAAGCACCATAGATATTTTCCATGCAATCCGAATTTGAGTGGCCTGAGTTATATGTACATTATACACTTGTATCTATGTCTATATATCACTATCTTTGTAGGTGATCATAATATCGTTGATGGTGACATTTGTGCTGACTAATGAAGGGGCATAGTCGTAATCTCCATCATCATCGTCCCCATCTCCTTCAAACCTGGTTGCTGGTGTATAGCAGTAGCCACTATCATTCTTCTCCATGTTAGCATGACTCCTACCCAACCACCCTCTGATTGACTTTGTGACAGACGACATTTCCTTGATGACAGATTATGAAGAAATGTTGAGGTTGTTGTTTTGAGTAGGAAAGAAACTGAGAAGCCATGCATATTTATGAGCAAGAGAAGTAAACTGGGCATGTTTTCACATAGGTCTACCCACGAGAATAAGTGTGGAGTTATGATCAAATGCTGTGCCTCACGTATATGGGGGCACCTATTTGTAAAAATTTCAGCACACATATCAGAAGAAATGTATGGAGTTTGATGGGTTGCCACAAGAGAAAAATGTTGGAGTTTGATGGCTATCTTTTTTCTCAGCAGAAATGATAGAAAAGGATGTTACACTCATATTGACAGGAATCTATCAAAAAATTGACGTGTGGAGTCGTTACCAATGGACGTGCATTACATAATAAGGTTGACAGGTCATCCAGCCACATAAGAATGTGCGGTGACACATCAGCTGGGTGGATTCTTTGATCATTTCCATGTCATTCAGCAAAGTCAGGGAAGTATATACGATCACGTTACTTAGAAAGAATATTTAGTCTTAAAGATCAATTTTTTTATAAGTTTTCTTGTAATATTAGTTTGTTTTGTCCAAAACAATCTGTATTTTATTAAACAGATATTAAACAATCTGTATTTTACTAAACAAATATTAAAAAAGGTGATTGTTATTATACTATCTTTATCCTCTCTTTACCATAAATTAAAAGAGAGAATATAAGTAATTTGACTCTTGTGTTATGATTTGCCTCTTGAGACAGGTTGTACTGGACCTTTATAATGAAATATCACTTTTAAATAGTTCCACTTGATATGATTTTAGATCCAACTTTTTTAGCTTTTATGTAGCTAGTCTAACACAATACCATTCTTTTCCGGAATAATCTTCATTTTGGATCTAATTTTCAAATAGAGGTGGTATTATGATATGTCTTGGCCAATTTATTAATATTCTTATAGAATATACAACATGTGTTATAAATTAACTAGGGTTGATCTGGTTCTGGTTAATGGCACTTTTGGTTCCATATATCGTGATTTTTGAGCATGACATGCTCTTGACCAAATAAGTCGTCTTTTCAGACCTTATGAGGGGTCTTAAGTCATAAAAATGTGGTCTTGGTGCTTAGTTTTCGTCCATGCATGCTCTAGAGGGTCTTAAGGCATTAAGAAGTTGGGATTTTCTGTATTAAGCACTTAATGGACATGAAAAGTCATAAAGTTGGAAGCTTTATGACTCTTAGTGGTATTTTGGCCTTTGATCTAAAAGTTGTACATGAGAGCTTAATGCATTAAGCTCTTGTTGAGAAAATGGGAAGTCTGAGCGTATGCCCTGTGTAATCTGGAGTACGTAGTGCGTACATGGTCAATCTCCCGACTGCGGTCAAAGCTCGAGTATGCCCCGTGTGCCTTCAGAGTACGCCCGACGTACGATCCCTAAGTCGACTCGGCTGAGTTGACTCGGTTGGCTTGACTCGTCTGGGTTGACTTAGTTGACTTGTTGATTATGACCAGTTTTGACCAAGGGTATTTTGGGGAAATGTGATTAATATAGAATGGGAAATGTTTTGACATTTAGGGTTTGGGTTGAGCCGTTTGTCGGAGCTGGGAGCGATTCAGACTGCATTTAGATTGCGAGGTGAGTTTTCCCCATTGGACTTACGGGTCGAAGGAACCAAGGCCAGCCCATTGGATTGATATCCTGGTTTTACCGTATGTTGCTATGCTTTAGTGATCTGTTAGATCTGTATCCTGGTATATAGGATGTTGTTATGCTGTAGTGATCTATCCTGGTATATAGGATGATGCTATGCTGTAGTGATCTATTAGATCTGCATGACTACCTGTAAATGCTAGCTATTGATTATTATGGTATATGTTGTTATATGATGGTGTACCGGGTTGAGGCGGTCCTTCTTTGTGCTGAATGCCAAGATACCCATGGTGGTCCGGATAACTGAATGCCTGCGAGACGGACAAGTCAGGCCGAAGGCCCACAGAGCGTTCCAGATAGGCTGAAGGTCCAGTGAGGCGGTCCAATCATTCTTGCTGAAGTCTCTGTATACATGCTGTTGTTTGTTATGTTTATATGGTGGTACTTTGGGGAACTCACTAAGCGTTAACTTACAGTTTTAATTTTTTTTTTCGGGTACTTCTGAAAACCGTGGCAAGGCGAAGACGTGACCGTACACATCCTTCGTTTATGTTGATTGGATCTTGGGAGACTCTGATTTTTATTAATGTTTTGAAAACAATGGTTATGTAAACACTTCTTTTTAGAAAATGAATGGTTTAGAAAAGTTTAAATTTGTTATGATTTTTGAGAAGTTACAGTCTCAATACATTTTATACATATTAGAATGTTTGAAATAACATTTGTCGTAAAAATTGCTCATTTAATATATCCAAACGGGTTTATTATACATTTGAAGTCTCATATATTTGAGAATATTAACAGAATAGTTCCAAAACCAACCACAATTTATATTTATTACTTAAGAGTGGGTATAGAGTCCTTGCAGAAATATTAGGATTTTTGGATAAGTTTAACTATTTATTATAATTTATATCTTAAAAAGGCAATAAAATATGATTAAATAATAAGAAGTCATAAAAATGTTTGAAAATTTTCTCATAATAATTTCTAACCTTTATCTGGGTTGTGTAAAATTTCAAAAAATTTTGGAATATCAAAACTCAAGTTTTATGAATTTATTATGATTTTTTTGAACGGCGAGATTAGTTGTTAGAAGTTAATATCATGAAATCATCAACGCCTGAATTAGAACTCGAGACCTCCCATCAAAGAGGCAAAGTGTCTACTAAGTGGGCTAGTTCTACATTGGCCTGAATTTATCATGATTAATAACACATAAATAAAAATAATTATCAAACAATATCCAAATAGTATCCAAAAGTTATTAAACTTTATTTTCTGGTTCTAATAGCAGTAATGAGCTTTTAGGTAAAATTTCTTAATTCATGGAGAAATAGCAAATGTTCCAAGAAAAATCCCCAAAATATTTTTAAGTATGTTTTATAGTGTCATGAAGTTGAAAAAAAAAATACTAAAATGTCATTTGATATAGCAAAACCTGGTTTTATAAATTACCTATGTTTAGTTCTAACAATGTCAAAATGATTACTAAATAGTACGGAAAAAGTATCTAAACTTTTCCAAAATGTATTTCTATAACTTTCCAGAATATATGGTCCTCCTGTTAAAATATGAGAATTTATGTATGCGTATTAAAATTGTTTTCATTTTTACTTTAACTATTCAATAAAAATATGATTAAATATCAAACAGTGCTGAAAAATCCTGAAAATGTTATTACGATCACATCTAAACCAAATTGTGATGTTTGTAAATTTTCAAGTTATTTAGATGAGTCTAGCCTGGTTTTTAAAATTTATAACAATTAAAGGCACAAAAATCGAAATAAATATCGGTGTCCAAATCCGATGAAAATTTATTTGAATCGTCTAGGACTCATAATAGCAGCCCTGTAAAAGTTGAGTGCTTTTTGACCTCAGGGAACTATTTTCTTTTGTTTTTTCACTCTAAAACTTAATAACTTTGTAATAAATAAAAGAAAATAAACTTAAATCTCAAAATTTCCAGAAAATCTCTTCATGCCATTCTTAAACTTAAAAAAATCGGACTTAGTTATTTGAGGACATTGACTTAGATGCATTTCTTAATAAATGAGTCCATGATTATTATTAAATCACATTTTTTTAGCACTTTTGAGGAATCCATGAAAACTAAATCTATGAACTATATATCAATCACATGCAATCTGATCCAAAGTACATGCAGCAAGTTAAAATATGTTCTTGGTAGTTTAGAAAAGATTTAAATACAAAAGACTCAAAATAAGGAAGGAGCATGGGTGTAGTTCTATTGAGGTTAATGGAAATGCTTATGAGTTTCCTGTTGGAGATGCTTCTCATTCTTAAATGAATGATATTTAATTCAGTTTGAACACATTGTTCAAACTGTGATATGTGTTTGAGAAATATGATGTGGAGCTAGTTAATTTGTTAATTTCAATAAATTCTTGACATGATTAAATCTGTTGTAAGCCCATGGATTGAGATATTAGCAACTTTATCTTTGGCCTTTCAAGAAGAGAATCAGGTGTTATTTCAATCAGGAATTCCACTTGAAGAAGATAAAGTTCAAGAAACAAGAGAAATACTATCGTTGTCATGACCATAATCCTTCATCAATGCAGGATCGTCACATGCATGCTTTCATGTTAATAGATAGTTTTGCATGGTAAATCACTGAATGCGATATTATTTGTGTTGTTTTGATTTAATTAGGATCTTCCTGAACATTGTTGATTTTATTTGTAAAAATCAGAGATTGTCAAATTAAATTAGTTCACCTAGTTACATCTTGATTAGTATGCATTTAACACCTTTTTTATAACCTTTTGAGGTTCAAACATAATTCAATATGTCTTTTGGCTTGCCTTCATAAATCATACGTACTAAATCATATTGCTTGAACAGATAAAAATAACGAACTAATTAAACAAATGAAAGGATCATCATTTAGCTTGCCTTCGTAACTCATGCGCGCGTGCTGATTAGTGCACAACTACATCTCATAAGCAGTAGCAAAAATAGTTTTACATTCTAAACGATTTATCAGTATTGCATTAGTAATACAAAAATCTACAAAAGCTCCATGAATGGTTTTGTGGTCCCTCACCTTGCTACAGTTAATGTTAAATGTTCATCAACTAAATTATGCTGCAGGGGCATAGTCGTAATCTCCATCATCATCGTCCCCATCTCCTTCTAACCTGGCTGCTGGTGTATAGTAGTAGCCACTATCATTCTTCTCCATGTTAGCATGACTCCTACCCCACCACCCTCTGATTGACTGTGTGACAGACGACATTTCCTTGATGACAGACTATGAAGAAATGTTGAGGTTGTGGTCGTGAGTAGGAAAGAAACTGAAAAGCCATGCATATTTATGAGCAACAGAAGTAAACTGGGCATGTT